AAAAAAAAAAAGAAAGAAGTGGAACTTTGGGTCTGTCCAGCATGTGCATTCCTCATACAGTATTTAAGATTCTGGCTGGTTTTATGCTAAGAAAATTCTGAATGAAGTTTTACGGGTTTTGTATTCTAGCAAATCAGTCCTAGGGACTGTGAGGTCTGTGCTGGTTGTTGCTGCTGTTCCCCTCATTTTACTGTGAGCTGCGGGGAGGGGCTGGAGGGGGAAGCACGTGTTTGGTTTTGTAATAGCATTTAGGTTGCCAGTTTTTACCACCCATGGCTGTGTTTATCAAATCCTGATGTGGAATGACATCTGCTGTGGCAGTAGTGTGCCACAGTGCACATCTGGCCTTTGGTCTCTGACTTAGGAACGGACAGTATTCCCAACAACCAGTTACATCCGTTGTAAAATGAGTTAGAATCAAGCGAGATCTGTGCTCCCCAATATTAAAAGAGTTCTTAAGCTTTCAGCAATTACTGAAAGATTTAGCGACTGTGCAGCCTAATATATATATTTGTGAGTGTACAGACATCACAAGGACGGTATTTCATGCAGTTGAAGATTCAGTAACCAGTGCCTTGGCCTGCTTCAGAGGATTACTGCTCTAGAAAAGCAATGATTTAAAAAAAAAAAAAGGAATCTACCAAGCTGGGCTCATTAGCCTGGATTTAAATGTACATTACAATTGTTATAAGGCACAGGGGGAGGGATCTTTCATTTTGTTCTTGATTACTTAGTCCGTAGTAGCTCATGCATGTAAGAAGTGGTGGAGCACAAATAAAGATGCATAAAAGAAGTTAAGCAGCTTTAATGACAACAAATGACCACCTCCTGTTTTCAGGTGCTTTTAAGAGGTTTAAATGAGATACTTGTTCAATAATCCTATTGAGACACATTGAGGCTTTTGAAATACTTTCTATAGTGTTGAAAACTGCTGAAACTCTGTAGTATATAGCAATTTGAAGAAAAACATACTAAAAACTGACTTTGTCACATTTTTTTTCTGTGTTATTTTATATTTTCTTCATAGCAAATCGATGTATATATGAGCCTTAATGATAATTGGATGGTCATAACACGTTTTTTTAAAATAAACATTTGAGTTTTAGTTTATCAATACAATTCTTTTTTTTCCCTTTCAGTTCCTTCGAATATGTGCCGATCTTTTCCGCCTGGTCCCTTTCTTGGTTTTTCTTGTTGTCCCATTTATGGAATTTTTGCTTCCAGTAGCTCTTAAGTTGTTCCCTAATATGCTTCCCTCTACATTTGAGACAAAGTCTAAAAAGGTAAGCAGGTCTGAATTTATAATACAGTAATATTTTTTGAAAAAAAGTAGGAATCTCCTTGGTAAAGAAAATAGAAAAAGTCTAAAAGGTTGGATTGGGGTTTTTTTTCAGTGTTAGGGTAGTGCTTTTATCTTACTTATCTTGTTTTGAAGATCTTGCTGTTTAACGTATGGTAATGAACCAGTGCCGTCCTGGTTTGCCTTTTTATATGTGCAGGTGCTGAGCTATCAGGGCTCTGAGCCTCTCTTGTCTCTGCTGCTATCCCCATCTCCGTTTTCAATTCAGAAATGAAAGCTCTGAGACTTTATTTTTCTAACTTGTATTAAAATATATGCTGTAACATTTGTAGTCTTTATTCTTGATGCAAGGTTTTTCATATGTATACTTAATACATAAAACAGCTTCTTACACATTTTTTGTTTAGAGTTTATTTCTTTTAGTTAAGTTTTATCAGAATTAGAAATCCCACCCAAAAACCCTACAAGTTCTCACTTTCAGAGTACAAAAAGCCTCCACGAGGTTTGTACATGGGGAGCTCCCAGTCAGTCACAGATATAATCAGTCGTGATTGTGTACTGGGATCTAAATAACCACTCATCTCAAATTCTGTGATGAATTCTCTTTTTTTGGATGAGATGTAGTGTAGGATTTCTGGGCTGGATACAAGAGTTGGGAACTACCCAAACCAGTTTGTTAGTTTCAGTCTTTTTGTTGCTAATTTAGAGGATTCACTTTAGTTTTAGCAGGTGAGGCCACTCCTGGCATTGCATCTCATGCCTCATGGAGCTTGGAGCCTATTTTCCAGTGTAATTTGGGGATCTTAGGTAAGAGTGACTGCCCTCATGGGATGTATGTGTTACAGTAGAAGCCCAGGAGTACTCCACATAACTTACTTGGGGCCAGAAGAAGTGATATTTCATGCACGTTTCTTGAAGGAACTTTAAAAACCAAATGTTTTCTTAACAGGAGGAAAGGTTGAAGAAAGAATTGAGAGTAAAACTTGAATTGGCTAAATTCCTTCAAGACACCATTGAGGAGATGGCATTAAAAAACAAAGCAGCCAAGGGAAATGTGGCAAAAGATTTTTCAACGTTCTTTCAAAAGGTAAAAAAAAATTTAAAATGTGTTTACTCTTGCTACAGAAAATGGCTTGGTGTTTTATTTGGTCTGTGGTAATCATCAGATACCTTTATCCTGTTGGACTTGAAGAAGCAAGATGTAGAAGCTCTTTTAGGATAAATTTCTTTTTTGGAAGTAATACTTCAGTGTAATGAACTTCTTTGGTGTTCTAGCTGGTGCTTTTATTCTATTAGCAGTGTATTTCTGCTCATTTGCTTCTTGTTGTCTTGTTTTA